TGACCTATGGGCCGGAATTCTCGTGCGTTATCTCTCATTAAATATCGAAGATAGTTGTTAACAAATTTAGTTCCTCGCAGTTTGCGCAGGCTTCGTTGCTGTCTCCGGCATCTCAATTAATGGCTACGGTTGGTGGAATTACTACCTCTGACGCGACTCCTTGCCCTTAACCTATACTAACTGATCATACCTAGCTTCGTCTAAGAATTTCCAAGGAGGTGGCATATATGATTCTGGGTCTCAAGTCGGTCTCAATACGAATACCCTGATTCTATTCGCCTTCTGTCTCTGTGTCGCAATTGTGTTCAGCTATGTCTATGTATTGTTAGCTCGTCAGTTTCCTAAGCAATTCATCTGGATAACGTAAGTCTCACCTGAAAACCTTTCAGAGAAACATGATATAAATACTAACTGTTGTAGTGGCATCCTCAATATCGTCTTTGGGCTTGTTACGGCGATCTACATGTTGACACGTCACTACTACTCTGGCGGCATCGTATTCTTGATTTTCGTTGCCTTCCTAGTATTTGCCTTCATTGTGAGACCACCCTTTACACTTACCTATGCTTTTGCTTACCGACCCTCCAGACTTGGATTCCGCGCATCCCTTTTAGCGCCCTCATGCTCAAGACTTCTGTCGATGTTTCAAAGAGTTATGGCCATGTTTACCTTGTTAGCGCACTCGGCGGCCTTTGTGCTACCGCGCTCGCTGCGTGGTACTCCGTCACCCTTGTAGCTGTGTATGCGAAATATTCCTAGGGACAAAATCCGTCCTGCGCGGAAGGGGCCGGCGGTTGCAGCAACGCCAAGGTCAAGGGATTAATCGTTTTCATCACCTTTGCGATGTATTGGATGTCGGAATGGTTGAAAAACACCATCCACACAACGATTTCAGGGGTTTATGGATCGTGGTATTTTCACCCGCAGAACCTACCCAGGGGTGCTACCCGAGGTAGTCTCCGACGAGCACTCACATATAGCTTTGGTTCCATTTCTCTCGGATCATTAATCGTGGCGATCATCAACTTTCTAAGACAGCTGTGCTCAGTCGCCCAACAGAACGAGGCCGCTGGAGGCAATATAGTCGGAATGGTTATGTTCTGGATCCTTGGGTGCATCATCGGACTCTTAGATTGGGCGGTGCAATTCCTCAATCGCTACGCCTTCTCATATATCGCCTTATACGGTACACCTTACTTCGCCGCCGCCAAAAGTACGTGGACTATGATCAAAGACCGTGGTATCGATGCTCTTGTCAATGAATGTCTTATTGGACCGGTTCTTTCCATGGGAGCTACGTTTGTTGGCTATGCGACGAGCTTGCTAGCTTATTTGTACCTTGTAAGGACTCACGGGAATTGCTCGAGGAAGAAGACGTCTTGCTTACATCTTATTATAGGTATTTACCAAACCGGCGTACAACTCCGACGGTTCTTATACACCTGGTAAGTCTCTATTCTCAGTATTATTTATCTATTGATTGATTGGTTAACTCGGGGTGATAGTTGTGGTAGCTTTCGCGTTCCTCATCGGCCTGCAGATCTGCAACATTTTCACGACGCCGATAAGCAGCGGAATCGATACGATATTTGTGGCGACGGCGTGGGACCCGCAGGCCTTGATGCAGAATCATCCCGACTTGTACGACGAGATGATCCGGGTCTACCCGCAGGTTCAAGTGGCGATTCACGCCTAAGTACTTTTTCTAAAGTGAGATCAGGGATTTGAAAGTTTGTGTTCTACGACATCGTGAGAAATTGCGTGTTACAGTTTTGGATTTAATCCTAGCTTAATTGGTTTATCGATTCACTGCGTTGTGATAAAATGCAGTACAATGATAGGCATGTTCGGAACTTAAACCCCTAGATAATAATAATACTATGATGAATATTGATAATAATGATGCGGCGAGGTGATGGAAAATTGATTTTACTTACAGGCGATGGCTGTCAAATAAATGCGACGACTCACCCGAAATGTCGCCTAAAAATAGGGGGACCTAGCAGCCTAGTCTACCTATGTGGCTGGCTCGATCAAGCTAAGGCGTTCCTTGCATCACCGGATTCATTCAAGCGAGATTGTCGATCCAGGCTGCAAACCCGGTTTGGTTAGCCAGCTGAATACCAAGACCAACTCCAAGACCTAGACCGGCGACAACGTCCCATTTTGTTAGGCACCTTGGCCCTATCGCAATGGATATTGCTGCATCTAGACAGGCAAGAAATAGGCAACAATGCCTGTTTCTTTGCGACATGACTTCAATTCTTGGAGTATATTATGAGAGACCTTAACTGAAGGTCCGCGATGATACTGGTGCGGAGAAGTAGACGTTTGGTTACGAGACCAGCACGACTCATTCGCTATTCATCATCGCCGCTAAGAGATTTCGCGCCCTCACTTTCATCCTTACTCTTACTCTTACCTTCACCCTCGCGTTGTCTAAACAAGTCTACGCGAGGACACCAAACCCGCGCAATGGCTTCCAATAACCCCTTCTCCACGCTGTTGCACCGTGAGAGCCTCACCGCCAGACTCGCCATCCTGCAGCCGGCCGCTGACAAGGACGCCCCTATTGAGCTGACGCTCACGGACGCGGTGCTCAAAGACACCTCGTACGAGTGCATCTCGTACGACCGGTCCTCGAAGACCGCTTCTGCTGCAGACAATAACACGTCTGTCACTGTCGACGGCGTGCCCCAGGACATCCCCAAGCAGCTAGCCTCCGCGCTACTCACGTTCCGGCGCAAGGAGCGCACGCGCACATTATGGGCGGACGTGCTCGTAGGCCGGACACTTGAGGAGCGCAGCGCGCAGGCCGCCGTCCAGCGCCAGGTGCTCGAGGGCGCGGAGCGCACGCTGTGCTGGCTGGGGCCGGACAAGGACGGCTCGGACGCGACCTCGAAAGCGTTCTCCACGATCAGCGAGATGGGGCGCCGGTTCGAGGACGCGTGCCGCGCCGTCGGGCTCGGGCCCGACGACCGGCTGACGACGGCGACCATCCAGCAGATGAGCGGGATCCGGCAGCGGCTGCTGGACTGCGGGTCCGACGACCTGAACTCGTTCGACTTCGCCGTCTGGCGCGAGATCTACGACGTGTTCGGGGCGCCGTATTGGAAGAGCGCGCAGTGCGTCGCCGACATCGTGCTCGCGAAGGCCCCGATCGTCGTGCGCGGCCGCAGCAACATCCGCTGGCATGCGTACATCGCGGCGTCGCGCGGCATGCCCCTGTACCAGGCCAAGTTCTTCCAGGTCCCGCTGCTGCCGCACGTGGTGAAAGGGTTCGAGATCGCGAACCAGATCGAGATCGCCGAGCGCCGCAGGCGGCTGGGCGAGTCCGTCGAGCTGCTGCCCATGGTGCAGACGGCGCGCGACTGCGAGCCGCGCGACGTCAGGGAGAGCGTGTTCGCCATGCTGCTGATCGCGACGCCGTCGCGCCGCGTCGACTTCCACGGCGCCGGCCCCCAGCCCCTGCCCGCCATCGACTACGCGAAGACCCCGCAGCAGGTGTTCGCCGAGGCCGCGCGGTACTCCGTGCTCGAGCGCCAGGACCTGATGCTGTGGTACGGCGAGCGCCCGCCGTGCGCGCGGCGGCTGAAGGGCCTACCGAGCTGGGTCCCGGACTTCGGCGCCGTGCCGCCGAAGACCGGGACGGCGTTCAACCCCAACGGCGGCATGCGCCAGTGGTGGGACATGATCAAGCCCGAGGCCGCGAGGAAGCCGATCACGGTCGGGGTTGACAACGTGCTGCACCTGCAGGCGCGCCCGCTCGACCGCGTTGTCCACGTCTCGCCCGTCTTCAACGCCGGCAACGCGCGGCACCTGTGCTTCGCCGAGTTCCAGAAGCTGCACGAGACCATGTCCTCCGCTCCCACCTCCACCTCCGCCCCAAACCCATTCGCCAACGAACCCCCCGCCGACACAGCCCAGCGGTTCTGGCGCACCCTTCTCCTCAACGCAGGCGGCACCAAGCCCGACTCAGCGACGCTGCACGACACGGCGGCGCCGCCCTCCAGCCTCGGCGCGCACTTCGAGAGCCTGCTGGCGGAGGAGCGCATCCTAGACGGGCTCGACTGCAGCATGCACGAGCTGACCTCGCCGGCGAACGTGGCGCGGCTGCGCGCCGCGCCCGAGCTGCTGGCGCTGGTGCCGCGGTGCGGCAGGGCCGCGCCGTACGAGGACCTGCTCGTGCGGCACGCGGTCGGCCGGCGCTTCTTCCGCACCGCGGGCGGGCGCTTCGGCATGTCGTGCGTCGAGGACGTGGTCGCCGCCGATCCGAGTTTATTACCGGCGGAGAGGGAGAATAGGGGAGAGGATGGGGAGGGAGAGGGAGAAAGGAGGAGGCCGGACCTGGGGCGGCTGATGAGCGACCCGCTGGCGCGCATCATGTCGCAGCAGTTCCAGCAGTACCTCAACGAGCGCGACCCGAGCGCCGCGCGCGTGCACGCGAAGGCGATGCGCGGCGCAATACCCGAGATGGGCGAGGAGGCGCTGGGGCGGACGGACGGGGGCGTGGGGGAGGGCGACTTGGTCGTCGCTTGTGTGGGCGGATTCTTCCCGTATATCCTGCGACCGCGACGGGAAGAAGCCGACGCCGAAGCAACAGCAAACACGGGGGAAGGAGCAGGAGCAGGCGAAGGTGAAGAAGATGGAAGTAGCAACTCGCAGCCCACCGAGGCTGCCCTGGAGGACTCGTCGACGTACGAGTTTGTGGGAGAGTGCTACCTGCACGGCGCGATGCAAGGCGAGGATTTCCAAGCCACGCGCCTCTTCGGGCAGAAGTACTTCGACGTGGATACGTCGAAGCTTGTTGATATCAACATCGTATAAGCTATACCTAAATAACGAAAACGAACCCTAATATAGTATAGCGAAGGGGGGAGATAGAAAGGCAAAGAGGCTGATCTAGTGTGGGAAGGAAATGGCAAGCCTCCTTTCCTTGCGCTTGCGAGTTTGCTTGATATGCATGACATATAAGTCCCACTTGTCTATACTCACCAAATGCCCGCGTAGCTCAATGGCTAGAGCGTGTGACTTTTAATCATTGAATTGAAATCCCAAGGCTGTGGGTTCGAGTCCCACCGTGGGCGGTCTTCTTTTTTTGCTATGTACCTAGGTAGTAGCTTCCGGTGGCTTACTTAGTAGTAGCTAACCTAGACGCCATCGTTTATATATACCTAACTTTATTGATACTTACCATCGAATTAGATCACGAGGAAATGTAAAGAAAACAGATGGCTTCAATTAGTTTTTACTCTTAGAGGCCGAAAGAGATTAGGGTATGGAAGTAGGGCACAGTTAGTATGGGCTTTAATATACTTGACTCCACCGGCGATGCGGCTCCTCTTTCTAGTGGAGTTCGGTATAAAGTCGAGTTCCACTTCAAGTAGGGGTAGGTACTAAGTAAGCATATTGGACATGTTGATCTAGTTGCATTTCTTACACACTCAAACACTCACTCCTACGAAGTATGCAAAGGATCACAAACCAAATATTCATCTTACAAGCCTCTGTAATAGCAGCGGCAAGACCGTCCAGCATCATATTAAAAGCAATCCTAGGTCCTGGGTTTGACCATATAACCGACCACCCTGCCCAAGCCGTCAAATCACATAACATACAAACAGGACTCTCCTAATCAAAGCAGTCCCCTCCTCCCCCTGTCCTCGAGTACTTGTAGGTAATACACGGTCGAAAATGCGATCTGCGTGCGCATGTATGCTTCTTCCATGTCTCTGTCTCTCCCCTTGTGCAATCAATCATCATCCAGTAGGCGGGTAAAAAAGACAGTCAGTCGAACCGCCCCTCTTCCACTGCTGTGCCGTAGTTCAGTGGTATTTTGTCTTGTCCGCATTACGCCATTACAACACCTTCCCATCCTATAACAACAAAAGCGTAGAAAAATAACCCTAACAATCAGTTATCCGTACGCAGGCCTGATTCGTCTCGGTGCCTGCTTATCCCCTTACTACTACTTCTTTTCTTCGAAGTAGAACTTGCCAAGCTTGTCCCCGTCCTTGGTGGAAGAGTTGCCTAGGACTGGGGCACGTGCGTTCTCACCGCTGTCGAGACGTTCTCGAACGATGCGCTCGGCAGCTTCTCGTGAGGCGGGGCCGCCTACGCCTTCTCGAAGTGCGCTTGTTCGTGGTTGACCGGGTTGGACAGGCACAGGACCGCGGGTTGTAGTGTCGACAAACACATCATCGTCCGAAGTACCTACATGACCACCGCCATCCGCAGCCACGCCGTCGACGTACTTGGCCTGGCGTGTCTCTGCAGCGGCAGTTGCGCTGACCGGGGTGTCGTTTCCTATGTCGCGCGTATCTCGGCTACGGTTCATCTCCTGACTAAGACCCGAACTGCTTCTCTCTAGAGCCCAGACGCCAGTTGCGCCGGCGGTACCGGGAAGGGGTCGGCGGTGGTAGATAGGTCCGCTGACTGTGCTGTTTGCGCCCTCGCCAAAGGCGACAAGGCTGGCGGTGCCGTCATCGCTCATACGGTCCTCGTAGCCTCCGGCCGAACGACTCGATATGTCCTCGTCCATGGGGTCTATGGGACCAGAGGTTGAGTCAACGTCCATGGTGCGATAGTTAGTATCCATAGACATACCGTCTTCGTCAACCTCAGTCAGATCTGCGTCCATGTCGGCCTCGGCAAATTGGCCGGCCTCAGTGGTGGTTCGCGCACCGACACTACCCGTCGCAGAAGCCGTACCAACAGTGCTCATCTTAGTGATAGCTGTCGGTTGGCCGTTGGAATCGAAAAAGGCGGGCGTTAGGCCCGCGGCGGCGGCTGCGGCCTGTTGGGCGGCGGTGGCGGTGGGTGTGGTCTGTGTGGCGTTTGCATTGCCGCCTTGTTGGTTCTGGTTGGGGGCGCGAAGGGTAGATACACGTTCGAGGCCGGCAAGTCGGCTAATTCGATCGGCACGTTCGGCTTCGAGGGAGTTCGTAGACGAGTGGTGTTGATGTCGAGGGCCTCCGAGGCCGTGCAAGGAGTGGCCTCGATGGCCATCCTTGATAGCAGTGGTGGAGAGCGCGGATAAAGAAGTAGTAGTGCTCGTCGGCGTTCCACTAGAGTTGCTTAAGTTAGGAGATGAATGACAAGGTGTGGGATTGTGCGGAGTGATTGGCTCTGTCGAGCTCACGGGTGATGTAGGTGTTGCATGTAAGGAGTCGCGAACAACATACGGCATATCTGAAGGCGTATCCGGGTTAGATGCCGGGGGAGGCACGTTGATGAGCATCGGTGCTGTTGGCTGTTGCGACATTGTTGCTATTATTAGTCTGGTTGATAAAGAGAAAGGACTGAAGGGCGAGGGTTGAATGATTCGGAGTGTGATTTGTAGTTCCGCGTCGTGTTGGCGCGTCTCAGTTAGAACTTAAGAGCGTCCGTTACAGATAGCGGGATGAAGATATAGATATGGGCTGATGTGATGGACGATAGAAGAGAGATGGACGGATGGTGGGGTATCGGAATAATAGGGAGAGACAAGGGACTGTTTTTATCAGTCGCGGGCGTCAAGAAGATCGCCTCCTAGTCTAACTGTTGAATCGACAGATTACACATTTATCAATTGAGGAGGATATTGAGAATTCTTTGTTGAAGACAAATCGTATCAGTCAATCAGGTTGGTTGGTTTAAAGGTAAAAGGAAGAAATATGGTTTGTGATGGAAAAGTGAACTGATGGCCTTCCGGTTGTTGCAATTGTTGCGTGTTTGCATTACAGCAGCGCAGTGCATACGGTAATGTAGCTAATGTTATTTTGAGCTAAGGTGGGGGATGACGTAGGGCTGTGAATTAGTACTAATCAGTTCTAGCCTGTTTAGGTACCTCGGTACGTACATTTCCCTATCGACGTGTAGAATTCTAGTTGAAAAGACGCTGTAACTTCTAAGTGAAAAGGTAACACGATAATCTTCATTATCGATGCACTTCTCCCTTAACATACATATCTAATATTTTAACTATTTACAAATACCATGTTCTTTTCTTCAAGTTAGTGAATCACAAATTATAGTACTGTTTCTCTGCAAATGTTTTAGATTATCGATACCAATTAATACTAATTAATCGACGTCATCGTAGCAATCCCATTACCCCAATCTACTTTTCTCTTCATGTAGAATTAAAACGAGTCTCGGACCTCAGAATACTCCAGGGGTGAAATCAATGACTTGAACTTTCTCAACTGTGTCCCGCATACCCGCGGAGAACTCTAGATGAGTAGGATCCTTTTCGAGAAAATATTTCCTATCTTCCTCGTTCTCAAACTGAAGAATGAATGCGTGCGTCATCCCATCCTATCACGGAGTTCATCAGCTTAGAGTACGAAGAAGTTGTATGATAAGACTTAACCTGTCTACCCTCGACACTGTTGTCTTTTCCTCCGAGCACCTTCACATATGGCTTCTGGGATGTAGGATGGATGCAGTCTGTCTCAAAATCTAGCAACCGTTGACAAGCCTAAATCGAGTTAGTCGACTTCAGGACCTGTGCAGAGATTACTCACGGCCTTGTCTTCCTCAGGTGGTACAAGGGCTTTGAATCGGAATAGAAGAATATGAAAGATAGCCATGAGGAATTATTCAAATTTAGATTTAAGTTGTGACTATCTACTTAGATGTGTATGGAAAGTAATATGGAAGGTAGAATTTAACCATTAGGTATTATATGATAGTTTCGTCAGTGACATACTGTTTTAAGATCATCAGAGGGGTTAAATTTGATATGCTTCTATCAAGTATGCAATCAAGCAGCTGGTAATCCACCTTAGCAGCATACATGTAACAAAAAGATATCCTCAATCTCCAATCTCCAATCCCAATCCCTCCTTCTCAACGCCTAATTAACAACCTTCAACTCGGGATTCCTATGAAAGTTTTACTAAAAAACTAGAAAACTCATAGATATTCCGAGATTAACTCTGAAACTCCCATATGCGGAAAATAGACGAGTCGGAAGATGAGCAATTAGGGGTGCTGGAGGACAAGACTGAGGTCCTCACCCTTCGCTCAAAACGTACAGAAAGGGCCCGGAAGAAGCAGGCGAAAAAGACCAAGAGTACAAAATCTCAGTCACAGGGTCTCATGAGCCTCCCTTATGAGCTCGTATTAGATATATTAACCCTTCTGCGACCTAGCGACATCTTTAACCTTCAACGAGTTAGCCGAGCTTTCCATGATTTCATCATCCGGGACGAGCGTCGGATCGCGAGATCTGTCACAAACTGGCGTTACGCCTGCTTAGAGAAATGCTTCAGGCTCCCTGTTCTCATGGGGGATATTGATCCGAGTATCCAACCTCACGTCCAGAGTCCTGATCGACAGGAGCTTCTAACCATCCATAAGAAGCCCTACCAGCACGTGCAGTCCCCAGATCCTGCCGAAATTTGCACGTGTTTAACTTGTCTATTGCGATGGTCATCCCTCTGCTTAATCCCCGACTTCGCTTACTGGCAGAAAAACTTGGATATTGGGGAACCTATCCCCATGATCCCCAGGGGCACCCGCCCCGAGTGGAACCATGCTCTAATAGCTTCAAACGCCGCTATTGTACGGAAGGCTTTGCACAGCCCGCTATGGCACGCCCGGCTATTTGAGGCTCACTTGGACTCGACGACAAGATCAATCCGACGGCAGGCTGCGAACAAGGGCAACAAGCGACGACGTTTCCGCATGGAGAAGGAAGACATGGATTCAGGTTCAGACTTGTTCCTGGAGAGGAGCGGCCCACCAAGCTTCGACTTTCCATTTCACAGGGATAATTACTATATGCTAGAAGCATACCTCCCGAACAGAGGCTGGAATGTCGAGCAAGAAAGGTGGATGTATATGCCGGCTGAGCAGCACGACATAGACATTCAATACATCGTCAGGTGGGCCGAAAGGCGGCTCAACACAGATACAAAATCAGGAGGCTAGACGAATGGAGACTTGAGAACTTCAATTTTATTGAAAATATTCTTTTTCGTCTATATTGCTGAAGTTATATTTTCTTTCTGATCCGTGCAGCAATCGCAGACCCCGGCTGCCCCACACTCAGCCCAAATCTCCAAGGGTCCATATCTGGGGATTCCGTAGTGATCTCAAT